TTTGTAAAAACTTCAATTGAATTTCAATAAAGTTAAAGGCATGGCCTCACCGTTAATATTTAAAAAAAAAAAAAATAGAAGCAAAAGAAGTAAAAATAAAAGAGGCATTAATAAAAGTTTTATTTTAAAAGAAATACAGAACAGATTGAGACAGCTCTTAAGCAAAAAATTAAAAGAGCAGTTTATAAATATAATAGAAAAAATGGCTTGATATACATTTTACAAGCAGGTATAAAAAATCTAATATAAAAAGATTAATGAATAGAAGAAAAAAATAGGAATAACAGCTAGAATAAAAAAAAAAAGATAAGAAGAAAAAAATACTAAGAAAAAAAAAAAGACAAATTAGTAAAAAATAGAAAAAAAAAAATAAGAGAAAAAGAAAACCAAATCAGAAAAAAAGCATAGAAGACAATTTTAGAGTTTGTTATAAAAGGAAAAAGACCTTTTTATTATGGACTTTAAATAGTTAAACAAGTAGCTTACTTTTGCTTAAAATAATACAACAAGTTGCACTTAGGTATTATTAGAATGGCCAGATGATACAAAACTTAGTTGTTAAGAACATTTATATAATTACAAATATAATTTCAAAATCTTAATAAAATACTAATATAACTGTTTAAAAAAAAAAAAAAATTTTAAATTTCTTTAAGGGTATGGGTCCTATAGCTTAGTGGTTAAGCTTTTATATTTTTACAGTTAAGGTTAATAGTTCAAGTCTAGCTGAAAGCAAAATTGAAAGATTTTAGCTTCTGTAACCTAATAAAAAGCTTATAATTAAATGCAAAACTCTATAGTTAAGTCCAAGTGCAGTATATAATAGAAATAAAAATTTCTAGAAAGAGACCAAATCATAAAATGCAAGCAGTATGCATAACAAGTAGTTATTATAGAAGGTTATAGTTATGGAAAGATTGCATATATAAATCCTTCAGACTAGAGTAGCATCAACATCCTTACACCTTCTAATATAGACAATACTAACATCTCTGCACCTAACTTGTAAGATACTTGCTTGGTAAAATAATTAATAAATTGTGCAAATAAGTCCTAATTGGAATTAAAAAAAAGGATTTGATTAAAAAATAATTAAGACTGAAATGATGAGAAAAGTGGTAAACATGAGAACAGCCTGTAGTAAAGGATTGGCCTAACAAAAATTGAAAATATCTTTAACACAGCTGAATAGTCTAATTATAAAAAAGAAGATCTTAGAGATTGGTATATAACTTTTTTATATAGTATAAAGACACCAAATTGGGTTTTAGTTATACTTATATAGAAGTTTATTATAAATAAGACTGAGATCAACTAACTAATATGAGATAAGATTTACAAAATAGTATGACATCACTGAAGTTAGTATAATTCTTTAAGTATAATCAGAATTGTTTTGCAGATATTATTAAATAAGCTAAAAGCTTGCAATATATAGTAATATAGTATTATTAAGGTTAAAAGAACTTTCTAGATATAAACAGAATTGTTTTGTTTGTAAGTACAATAAGTTTCAGTCTCTACTATAGAAAGAAGTATTTTGTTGGAGGTTAAATGCAGTACTAAGTTACTGTATAATACTAAGATCTGGAGTATCTGCAAGAATAACAGCAGCAGACCTAACTTAAGATACAGATTGATCAAAAGACCAATAGTAGCAGCAGGTTTGGTTTAAGATATAAGTTCATTGTAGATTCTAGACCACTGTCAGAATATCCTAAAAAAATTAATAACAAGCATACCAAAGATGAAAGATCAAAAGAATTAGACATATCTAATTAGGACCAATTTAAAAATAATATAGTAACAAAAGATGAGAAATGTAGGGAACAAAGTATTACTAGATATAGTTAGATTAGAAGGCAGAAAAAATAAGACTAAGTAAAACATATAAATAAAATACATAGATATAATTATAGAAGACAATATTCTTGGCATATAGAATACTGTATTAAGTTTAGTAAGTATTCTTATCTGTATAGCAGTTTAATAATATGCTCTGATCAAAAATAGTTGTTAAAATAACTGTATACAGGCATGTGATAAACATGCACTTAGGTGCTATATGGGTAACTGAGTGAAGCAATAGTATAATATTAGATAGCAAATATAGTACTAGTATAATTGATCCTAAATATGTAACTGTAAAACCTGTACTATATTAAATTAAAACTTAATAAACCAACTAGTATATTTGCCAAAGTTCAAAAAAAAAAATTTCTTTAAGATATTACTAATATTAAATAAAGGATAAATGTATATGTTGTATACTGCAATGTGCTTATACATTATATATATTTACAAATTATAATTTAACAACTAAAATAAACTAGTTTTTTGTTTAGTTAGAGTTAGAGTTATATAGAATTAAATGCAATAAATAGAAAAGATTTATAGTAAAAAATTTCAAAGAATTTTTTTTGTTAAAGTACAAAAGATAGTTTCATATGTAAAAATTTGAGTTATAAGTAACTTTTGTAAAAATAAACATTTATTTGAATCTTTCTGATTATGTTATATTACACCTAATATAAAAATTTAATTAACTAATCATTAATATGTGATGTATAAGCATATTGCAGAGTTACAACATCTAATTAAGTTCTTAAATAAATATTTAAATTTAAAATTTATTTTCTTATTTGAAGATAATCTATAAAAATATTTTTTCATATTAAAATTCTTACCAATAATCTATTTATTATACAAAATCTTAATATCTACTATTTTTATCTTTATACTACATCAAACTGCTCTTTCTATACAAATATTGAAGATACTCTTTCTTTATTTTCATGTCTAGTAATTCTATAAATATCTTACAATCACTTAATAATACTATAAATAATACTCTTTTATTACTTCAAATTACTAATATAACTTTAGCAACTTTATTAAATATTTTTTAAAATTTATATTTAACTCTTCAAATCTTTAATACAAATACATTTTATTTTATTTTTTTTTTTTAATATTAACGGTGAGGACAAATACATTTTATATGTTATTACTAAAATTTATTCTATTATAATATATGATAATATTAAAACTCTTATTGATAAACAAACAGATGCTTTCTTATTTCACTTTTTTAATAATCTACTTAATTGGTTTTATTAAAAACTCTGATCTATTCATAATATATATCAAAATCAATAAAAATGATTTTACAATATTACATTCAAATCCAAATACACTAAAATTAATCTATCAATTTAGTCCAACCCTTCAAACAATATTACAACCTCTATTCAACTTGTTAATACTAATTCTTTTATTATCAAATAATTCTTATAGGATTACTTATTAACTACTTATACTAACTAATATCCAGACAATTACTTGAAAGTCTCCTTCAACCTATCCTAGCTAAACCTAATTTGAAATAATTAACTATAGCATTCATAAGAAATAGGAGGTGTAATGTCATATTGGATGTCTTTTTGTAACACAAATGTAGTTTAAAATTTTTTAAATTTAGAACTTATAATTCTATATGTAACAAAGTTTTTGCTTGGACATTATTTCAATAAAAAAAAACATTTCATTTAAATTAGTGTTAAATTACGAATTAGCTCCAACTTGGTTTGTATGAATTAACTCTCACTTGGCTTGTGCAAATTAACTCCCACTTGATTTGTGCGAATTAACTTCCACTTGGTTTGTTCAACTTCTATAAGAGAATAATTCGAATTTTGAAAATCAAAACTATTAGAAAACTTAAATTTTTTTTTAACAAATAAATGAATATAAAATCTTAAGTACGTATAATAAATGTCTGGACCTATTTTGATATGAAATTTTAAAATTTTTGGGGTGTCTTTTTTCGCTTTTTTTTTAGGGTTACGTTAAAATTTTGGGCTAGAATTGATAAATAAAGTGTATATGTGGATTTTAGCAGGGTTTATATCTTCATCAGTCGCGACAATTAATGCTAACAAATTTATCAGTACAATTAGTTAATGGTTCGGTGTCCTACAAAAAAACGTAATTTGCTAAATGAAACCAGGATGGATCTCAAAAGTAAGTATCCATAAGCTTTTTTTTTCTTAATGGGCAGCAAAAACGCCAACCCAGTCTATAGAACATGTGATAACAATTCTTCAGTGAACTAAAAATTCATAGGGGAATATTTGATTCTTGCAGAATAGTTTTCAGTAATGTAAATTAAAGTTTTGGTTTTTATACGCTCAAGGTTTGCCGATTAGTTTTTGCAATGCAGTGTACGTTAATATGAATATACTTAATTTTCGAGATCGGACATTTATATTTAATTTTTTTTTTAAAGAATTACCAAATTGAAGTTTTGGGGTAATTTGTAATATTATGTTAATAAAAAAAAACTAATAAATGAATAATAAAGTAAACTAACAAATATATAACTTTCATATTAGTTAAAATGTATGATTTTTATAACGTATCAGTATATAATCATTGAGTTCCAAGATGTTTCCAGGCTCGAACCAGAAAATCAACTTTTGAAGGCTCCCGGACCGCCACTCTAACATAGGTTGGTCTATTATACCCAGGTTTTCCACTCCTAACTGGTACACCGGCAGCTTTAGCTTTATCTACTGCATCCTCTACAATATTAGCGGTTTTCATATCAATCCAAACCCATGATAAAAAGTCGCTTCCATAAAATTCCCAAGCAAACATTGGATCTTTATGAAACATCACAATAGAATTTGAAATAACCTTCAACCTATCGATTAACTCAGCTCGCCATTTTGATGTAAGCTTCCACGTGCGATCCATAAAACCATGATCCCTGACTACTGTATTCAGAAATGCAAGCGCTGGCGAATTTACACTCCAAGGGACTTGAATTCTTTTCAATGCGTCAAAATGCTTTGAAGTAGGACACACTACAGAGCCAAGACGTAATCCAGTGCAAGACCAGAATTTTGTCCATGAATGAATTATATAAAGTGATATATTCTTGGTCTTGTAAAGTGTGAATATAAAATCATGTTGAGAAATTAGGGAATCGGATCGAAAGTCTGAAGATAGCCAGGGTTGCATCGACTCATCTTTTGAATATTCGGTTATGTTAATTAAAAATATTACGTTAATGAAAAATGAATATAAAGAGAATACCATACCAACTATAATCACACCCCCTTCTTCTACATTATCAAGAATCCATTTTTTCATTTCTGCAACATTTTTATAATCACCAGTAGGGTTGCAAGGATTAACAATACATGAAAGTGTTGCACGCGTGGTATCATTGGGGCTTAGAATAATTAGTCCATTGTTTTCTGCTGATCGTTGATATTCTTTATACTTAAAATATCATAAATGCAAGTAATTTTAGTGATTAGAATGGCAAATTCCAAAAAAAAAGGAAATGAAAAATGAAAAATACTTGAACATCCCACGGCCCTGGTTTCCATGTACCATTAGGTGCAGACCTTATAACCAAATCAATTAATTCACTCGCACCATTTCCAAGAAGCAATCTATCAGAATGTTTTGCATAATCATCTGGCCAAAGGAATTGTGCAAGTGACGTTTTCGCTGGCTCTTGATCCGCTGATGGGTAATGATGGCAAGTAAAACACTGACAAACGCAAATCAACTATGTATTACGCATACAATATATCAAAATGATGTATATAAATTTAGAAATAAAAAACGACTTACAGCTTCTATAGATGCCTCTAATGCAGTTTTAGGTGTTCCTAAAGCATTGGTCGTTACCGAGAAATCTTCTATAAAATTATTCAAATATTTCCAGTCCTGACCACCATGAAACTGTTGTAATTTGGTATCCCAAACAGTGCTATATTTTTCCTTGGTCATTTTGATGATAAAATTTTATAATTCAATAGCTGCTTTATACACTACCTCCCAGAAAGTGTTGGGATACCTTGTATAAATTACGTGTTAAATTTTATAATAAATCACTAATTGACTCTTTGATGGCATCCCAGAATCATATAGAATCAGTGACCGAGATATTTCAGGCGAAGGAGGTAATTTAATAATATATTTCTTTATAAAAAAAAAAAAAAAAACGTTAAAATAAATTGATGTTAGATCGCATATTCCATGAGCAATTTTCCCCAAAATTTTGTTATACAAAGTTTGGGGAGGTTTAAATTTATTTAATGCTGTAAGTATAATCAAGAAATGACAGGATTTTCTTACGATCATTAACTAATTTATCGAAAAAGTCATATGCATACATGAGCCACGATTAACATTATTGTTGCATACGTGAAAGTAATATATGTGCAGTTGCCCCAGACATTGTGCCACCCAATTTATCTATCGTAATTAATGTATGGAGAAATTAGTGTTAGGCGTTCTGGGGCGATGAAACGGTAAATACCGAAATTTGTGTAAACGCCTGTGTTTTAGGTAATTGTTTTATATATTATATTTTCCAATTTTAATACTGTATCTATACTTCTGTAATTGATTTTTTTTAAAATTTTGAATAAAGACATCTTGGCAACCATTTGATCAAATTTAATGGATTTATAGATTTCAAATACAGTGCGTATTAAATTTAAGTAAATATATATGTAGTTATTAAATTGAATTTAGTAAAGTTTTTATTTGAACTTTATGCATATATATATATACTAATTATAAAAATAAGAAATTGATATTTTTACATCTTTTATAATATTGTTACATTTTTAGTTAATAAAAATCAACATAGATTATTAGGTTGGATGTGGGTCAAAATTCTGACAAACAGAATTCTGACAAAAAAATTCTAATAATCAAAAATCCTAACAATTAAAAATTCTAACAATCAGAATTTTTAAATAAAAAATTTCAAGTATGAAATATATTTAAAGCAAAATAGATTTTTATAATTTAATTAATTTTAAGGTTAGGTTATTTTAGATAGGGTTGTTCTAATTTATAATATTTTTTATTAAAATTTTAACTGTCAAAATTTTTAACTATTAGAATTTTTAATTGTTGGTATTTTTTATTAAAATTATAATTTTTTAGAATTTTGCCTGTCAAAATTTTAATCCAAACTTATTAGGTTTTAATTAAAGTTAATAAAAGTATAATAATATCAAAAAAAATAAAAATATTAATTTCTTAAAAATAATATTGTAACATTGCAATAAAATTATTTGCTTAAAAATTCTTATTCATAAAGTATATCAAAATGTTTTGTGTAATGTTAAATGATAATATTATAAAAAAAAATATTAATTTAACAAATTAAGTATATGTTTTATTAAAAACTTACATTTTATACAAATGCTTTTGTTTTATATATTATTTACATTAAGGAGTGTGGCAACCTAGTGAAGTGGTCAGGTTGTCAACCCCTAAGTGGCAGGTCTAGAGTTCAAATCCCATGGACAATGAATTTTGGAAAATAGGTCTGTGTTATGGTAACTGTCTCTGTTTATCGGTTGGATTGATGTATCTGTAACCTTTGTTGCACTATCTTGAATGGGAGCTCAGGACATCTATGCTAAGTGTAACATTACACCCACATAGAGGAATGTTAATAACCGGTATTGCATAAGACTTCAGTGCAAACTCGTGATAAGACCATTGAGCGCAAAAAGCAAAGGAACTGATGAGTCGGAAACCTACTTGGAAATTCTGAATAAGAATATAACACAAAACTTTTGACAGTGCTATCAGACTAATGGAAGCTCATGAAACACCCCCAAAGAGATAGGCAAAATAAACTGGATGACAAGATGTATAGAGGAGCACATGACCAACCAGCCTGCCGGAATCGCTAAAGGAAAAGGATACTAAGGTATACCATACCAGGCCATCTGAATTGGAAGTCTGGGGAGTCCTGTCAGTCCTGAGTAGTGGTTAGTAGAAGACGATAAAGAGAACATTGGAAAGATAGGTATCAGAGTTTTGGGTAAACCTTACAAGGATAAAAGTGGTTTAATGGTTAGCCCTGACTGCAAGTGATGGTTTAGGCCAAAGTGTGATCAGGTAAGCTGTAGGTATGGGATACAGAACACACTGATAGGTTTAGTACAAAGTTAAATATGACTTAGTGATCATGGCATATCTTCACTGGTTTACTGGAGTCACTGGTAGGGTATGGTAAATGCAGGATCAGAGTGTTTAAATAGAGGATCTACAGATAGGTTCTAGGTATAGCAACTAGTATAGAACCTTTAGGCAGACTACTTAAATTAAACAATGACTAAAGTTGTACAAGTGGTTAGTTGTATAGTCTTTCTGTAATTGCTTCTGTGTCTGTACATATACAGGTGTTAGCCAACTTATACTATCAATAAAATCCTAGGTCGTATATACTCACTTTAATATTTAAAAAAAATAAAAAAAATATATATATTATTTATATTTATTCTATATATACTAATTATATTATAACAACTCATTCATTACAAAAACAATGTTCTGTTCTAATATATATGGATAATACTTTTTGGGTCACTTCCTTACAAACTGAGTTATTTCATATATTATCTATAGCTGAATCATTTTATACTATAGCAAATATTCAAGTTAATCTTTTAAAATCTATTTTGGTTATTAACAACCCTCCATCTCACTATACTCTTATCTCTTATAACAACCATCTACTTTTACTCCATTTCTCCAAATAATCTTTTAAATTTTTAGGTTGCTGGTTTATTTTAGATAATAGGCAATCTAAACAAACAAAATTAATTATTTTTGAATCCTCCAAACTTATTCAAATTGCAAAAACAAAACATATAACTAATTCACATACTTATTACATTATTAATACAGTTATCATCCTTACTATTGAATACTGCCTACACAATATTGTTATTAACCAATCTACTTGCAACAAAATTTTTACTCAACACATTGGTCTTGTTAAGCTCAAAGCTAAACTTTGCCATACAATACTATCTAGTACCTTATTATATCTCCAAATCTACAATATTAAACATATTTAGGATATTCAATTATAACACCATATTCCCAATCTTCTTAAACAACTTAACAATCCTGACCTACTAGGCACATCTACTTATATACAAATTTAACAACTTCAAAACAACTTCTGGTCTTCTACTAATATTTTTCTTCATCCTAAGCCAATCATTAATGGACCCAATCGATTAACAACAAACTTCAAAATAATACAACTTATCAAATATATCAGCTGGACTTTTTTAATCAACCCAACCTATAATATTCTATATACTCTAAATGATAAAACTATATCCTTTGAATCTCTTCTTTCCTCTTATTCAAAATATCCTATTTTCAAAAAACAACTTAGATATCATAAACTCCTCTTTTTGAACCAACTTACTACTCATGACAATTCATATTTATTGCATTGGCAATATATCTTACCTAGACTTAACAAAATTCTAAAAGGTATTATATCATTATAGTTTACTATCTTTGAGAACATTACTACAAGTTACTTCTATGAACATACTCTTTATGAATACTATAACCTATCTTTCATAAACTACTTCTGCTACTCTATTGGTCATTTTACTTCTAACACTAAAACTTGGTTACTTACTGTTCTCAATAATTAAATAATTATTGGCAAGGCCAGAAGGCATAATACATCTACTAGCCTTACTCTTATTAATCACTGGCACTGCTTATTCCAGTCTCAGTTCTCTAATTTTTATCCTACTCTTCCTTCTACTATTACATTATGCACTGAATGTCATCTTAATTCAAATACAATTGCTAACAAATGTACTATCTTTATTCCTACTAACTTGGCTACTAAGCTACTTTGTTACATCAATTCTGACAAAACTTTCAACCTTCATATAAACTTTCTTGATATTACATACTCAGTTGCCCTTTGATATCCTTTACATATTCCATCTCTTCTTTCATTTACAATTAATTTACAACAACTATCTTCTATCTTTAAAACATATCAACTTGTTAATAAGCTTCAGACTATTACTAACTCAAATCACAATCTATCATCTATTTCATTTTATATTGATAGTTCTGTTATCGATCTTGGTACCTTACAGTGCTCTATAGGCATAGGTTGGGTTCAAGTTGATAACTCTACAACTATTAACTCATTTCAGGCATAAGTTAAACTGTGGCTATGCTCCTTCAAAGCTGAAATTTTTGCTATCCTTTCAGCAATTATTGCTGCTCCTAAACATTGCTTAGTTCACATATTTACTAACTCACAATCAGTAATCTTCAAATATTATAACATTTGCCAATCAACATCTACTCTTTCTTATACTCATACTTCATATTTCTTCATTTGACAAATACTTATTATCTTTATTAAGTCTTATAAAATCCAACTTATTTTTCACAAAATCATTGCATATCAAGATGACCTATTCAACAACCTTGCTGATTAACTTGCTCATAATCACCAAATATTACCCTATCTAACATTGTTAATTAATAACTCTTACAACCTTACTATACTTCTTTTATCGATAAATTTCTTATTAAAATTACTATTTGATACTCTATTCGAACTATATGCCAAGCCCACATCATATCACTTTGGACATCTTAATATCATTTTCAACAATGGTCTATTATTGTACCTGACATTAACTGGGAAGCTACATGGTTCTATATCAACAACAATCAAAAAATTTCTAATTTTGTTTACAGCTTCTATTCATCTATTTTGAAAACTTTTCAAATTAAAATTCTTACAGATGAACTTTTTGTCCCTTAAACTCTTCATAAATGTAACTCTTTATTTTCTTCCTCCTGTCATCAATGCAACCAAACCAGCTTCTTACTTCATTGGGCTATCTGCCCATCAACTCAAACAATTTATCACCTAATCTCTAATTCTCTTAAGAGTATCTTAAATACAACTAATC